GAAGCCTCAGCTGGTTGAAAGCTGGCTCCAGCAAGCCAGGCTCTCCAGAGCTGGTACCTGCTCCTAAGGAGGGTGATGGAGCCACAGACCTTGTATGTGGCTGCATAGGTGTCTTCTCCAGCTGCTCCTCTCCCAATAGACTCAGACCCAAAGTCCCACCTCATATTTAAGGAGAGATTCAGTCTTTCCTGCCCACCTCAGTCCTTGGCCTAATTGCCCTGGGTCTGGCAGACAGGATGACAAGCACTCCTCCCGGTTAGAAGTGTTTCGTATTCAGCACAGGGCAGATATCCTAGGCAGTGGCCTCATTACTCATCTCCATTAGTGGTTTTGGTTTGGTGTGTGGGGAACACAATTCCCCTGCTTCCCTCTTCCTTCCTCTGTGCAGCTGCACTGAGGTTGATTTGAAAGGCTTGAATACTTTTGTGTTTCAGGTTATAGATATTTGTGTTTCAGATTGACTTTCTTTTATTTAGAACATGTCATTTCATTGCCCAGCCCTGTGTGTTGGGTAATCTCACTGGAGAGGTTGTAGATGGACAGGTTTCATTACAGTGCCAATTTATAGCTTGAGTAAGTTTCAATTCTACTGAAACCGGAGCTGCAAGCTTTATGCCTGGTCCTCCAGCTCTGTGATGGCTTTACACACCAAGGAAAACTAGTTCAGGACATGGCACTCTAGAGTCACTCAACAAAAACAGGAGAGAGAGTTTAGAGCTATAGTCCAAATCACGAAGAGACAAGAAATGTCCGCTAGTAACTATATAAATTGTAGATGTTTCCGTTCAGCTACGAGACAGGTGGGAAAGCTTTCCATGCGCTGTTGCTGTGGTCATAGGCTCACTGGTCTAGCCACCCTTTCTCTCTTTCTATTGAGGAGCAGAAATGGGCATAAAAGGGCCAGTGAGTCCATTTTAGCGCTCCGGAAAACACCCAGGTAAGAATAGGTCTGCATTAGTGATATCTGTCCAGACATACTGAGCAAGTATGGATATTGCTACCAGTAAGTGTGGAAGCACAGACCTTGAAATAAAGTGAGAAATAGCTATGTGGGGGAGGGGAGGGTTAGGTGGTGTGCCTAAACAAGCTGGTGTGAATACACCTAATGTGAACTGAGATCACAGTAGTAGGTGACTTCTGTGACAATCTGATACTTTCTTAAAAAAATGAGCTCAGTCTGATAACATAGCGGAAAGAGTCAGGAAAGCACATCTTTTGCCACATGCAATAAGCAAACGTAACCTGGCAGCCATAGCATGGATGTGTTTTGAAACATTCAGGAGTTACTTACCCAGAGAGGCAGCTGCTTCCAGTTCTCTGATTTATATCATCACACGGGTCTATGAGTGGCATGTACAGTTTGAAAGGCAAAGGGAGGATGAGTGGCCATTATAGATGGTAAATTCAAAAGCTGGTTGTTTTTTTAAGCCGTCTATGGATCTAAATCAGAAGGAAGGTGTAACAACACCATTAAAAACACATCTCTTCTTTTTCCAATGTGTCATTCTGAATATAATTGTCATTATTGTTTTAATGATTTCTTACCTGTTAGATCTTTGAAAACAAGCAAATTCAATCCCTAAGTGTAGTCTGGCTGACTTTGCCCAATTTGTATCAAACCTTCTATATCCGAATTGATTACAGCAGTTCTTCAGCAAAGTATAAGGCCAAGGAGCTGTCTATAACACTGCTGTACTGGGACCCCAGGAACGATACAGGGGAGGAACCAGATGGGGTAGCAGACTGAACATCCCATGACGTGATAAAAACTGTTGGAGTTGTCCCTCCTGAAACAAGTTCTAGACATGCTTGTGAAGCTGGAGACATAATCATTGGGTTAGTTCACAAGAGTAAAAAATTTACAGCTTCTGATTGTCTTCAGGATCAGCCTTTCATGTGAGTTTTCTGAGTCCCTGAAGCACACAATATAGTGCTTTGAATATAAAAATATTTTAAGCAAGTGTGCATTAGTGGATTCAAGATATTCTCCTCTATGGAGCTGGTGTGAGAGCCTGGTCTGTGGGATGAAAGCTTCTAGTGGATGGAAAATGGGATGAATGAGGAGTATGTCCTTTTCCCAGTTAAGTGGCTGATTGCACCCCTTGCATAACAACATGAGTCAGGATGCACCTCAAGAGCCCATGTGTCTTCTGCTTTCCGGGCATGTAACTGGAAGTGGATGCATTGCCAAGGCCATGGCTTGAGAAAAGGAGATAAGGAGAATCTTGTATCCCATATAAAAGGCTTTGTGTCAAGTGACTGTTTCTAATATCCAAAACAAAGTAAAAGCTCTGAAGACTTGACTTGGGAATCCAAGACTGTGCTGGTGAGGAGGGGGCACCAGTCAGCTTGCAGGTCTGTGGAGTTTCCTCCTTTTTATTATTGTATTTAATCAGATCCCAGTTTTACATGTTTTTTTTTTTGCAGGACTCTGCCTGTGCCTCTGTTCAAATAAATGTGGGTGTACGTGTGTGTGAGAACGAGCGTGAGCTGTTGATGGCTGCAGTTCATAGGAGCCCCAGTATCCTAATTCATAGGAACCGTATGTGCTCCAGCTGCACAGAGCCATTGCCACTGTTTGCTCCTAAAGAGTTCAGAGCCTGACAACCTGGTCTTGTCTCTGCAGCCCTCAACACGGCAAGATGTGAAAAACTACAAAATGAGAAGGAGGAGTTGGAGAGGCGATTTGAGGAGGAGGTGAGGAAGCTGCGCTGGCAGCAGCAGGAGGAGCTGCGGGCGCTGGAGCAGCGGCTGCAGGCACAGTATGAGGCCGAGATGGAGCGCTTGCAGGAGGAGCACAGGCTGCAGCTCGCACGAGCCAAGGGTCAGCATCAGGAGCAGGTCAGTCACGTGCTGTCCACTTGTGAAAAGCAGAACATGCAAATATTGAGTGGGTTCTGGCAATTGACCATCTCTAACACGAAGACGTTCCTAAGAAACTGGTGACTGGAAGAATAACTTCCAGAACACTTTTACTGCATTTCTTCATTGTTATTTCCAACATTATTTCTGCATAGTAGTGCAGTACACTACCATGTATTTTTTTTATATATCTCCAAATGTTTTACCAATATTACAAACAGTAAGGCAAGCTCTGCTCCCCGCACGCACTTTCTCCCCAGTCCATCTATTCTAGTCAATTTAAATGAAGCAAAGTGTTGTAAAAGAATATGCCCAACACAAGTAAGGCCACCATAATCCTGCCCATCGTTATTTCAGATGATAGTTAAAGGGAGGCACGATGAAGTGATGGTGGCAATGTCGCGTGTAGCATAAATATCAAGCAGGTGATGCAGTCCAGGTTTTTTGACTCCTGCTGCACTGTTCAGGCACCAGATATCTATTAGATTGTACACGCCAAGTGTTTCCCCTTGTTTTACTTTCTCTAAGTAGGTAGGAATGCTCTCACATACAGCTATTTCAGTCTTGTAGCTGGAGTGAATGATCACTAAGTCGCCTACGGGCACTGCTCACACGGTGGCAGAGTGCCCTGCTGCGGCTTATGGAAACGATCCCTGCATCTGACCTTTATTCATGTTTTGTATTGCACTTGGTGAGCAGCAGAGAGAGTTCTGATTTTTTCAGCAACAGCAAACTGTACCCAAGTTCAGGAACCACAGTTCGCAAACGCTTTTCTCATGATAATATCTGCCATGTTCAGGTGGACTCTGCAGTCTGAACCACGAGGCCGTGCCATGTCATGGACCCTTGCTGCTCTGGGTATGCTGCTGCCTGGGCCCCAGCCAAATGCCAGGGTCAGGAGCCCACGAAACATGAGCCCAGCCAGCAGATGCCCACTTGCCAGCGTTGTTTTGTCAGCCCGGGAGATTTTGCCAATCCCATTGCAGGTTGGAGGTGGAGGGTGAGTTTTTTACATTCTGAGGCAATGTAAATGTGCAGCAAAATTCTGTAGTCAGATATAGTCTGTGCGAGGGACGAATGAGTCCCAAGGTCAAGGAGAAGGCTTTGTGTCTGAACACTCTGTAGACACTGGGTATCTTCAACGCGCATTTTGAGGCTGGTGCCTAAAGCAGGTCTGTGAGGGGCACCACGGCAGCTTTTCTCGCAACCTCCTTCCCTCAGTCCTGCACTGGGGACACCATTTAGCCTTTGCACACAGGATACAAACTTCAGGAAAACAGGCTAGCCTGCACTTTTTCCAAGGAAGGGAAAAAAAAAAAAAGAAGGACGACACCAAAATGGAGCACAGTAGAGACTGCAGCCCAGTATCTATAAGGTCAAGTATTTGTAAAAAGGGAAATGATACCACTTACTGCCTGTACTTGATGTACTGTAAAACACTCCTGGGATGGGAGTGCAAATGCAACTTGATATGACACTTTTATATCACTTGTGTCCCAGCTGCCCTGTGTTACATTTATCATGTAATGCCCATGGTATGCCAGGGCTGGGGGCAGCCCCGATTCTCACTAGCGAACAGTCAGACAGACGGGTTGGACAGATACTCAGCATCCCAACCTGTGACCCAGTGCAAATGCTACCCCCTAATGCAAACAGAAAAGAGATGATAGGAAAATGTGTGGCTGAGCTGAACAGGCAGTTAGCAGCTATATTATGGGCTGCTTTGTAGCTTTCCCTCGAAAGAGAGCTGTTGGCAAGATCTCTATCCTCCTCTGCTCTCTAACCCCAAGTCGTCTGCTCTCTTCTTGTTTATTTGCTCTGCCGTCAATGGGCTCATAGTCTTTGATAGCTGATTCCAGTGAACATCTTTGTTAAGGATGTTTCTTCTTCTTTCTCCTACGTCAGGTTTTGGGTTGATTCCTCTGTGGGGGAGTTTAAAGCACTCTCTCTGGGTTTTATCCTTTTTAATTGCTATGCCTGTTAGTTGTTATTGATTTGCAGTCTTGTAAAGTGCAATAAAAAAGCTTAGCGTGCCTAGGCTGTTTTGTCCCGGAGAAACTCCATTTTTCTGTTTGTGCATTAATTTTTAAAGATGCATTAGAAGGTGCTGTAATTTTTTTTGTGTCAAAAATTTTCGCATTCTAAATAACTTTTTTTTTATCTTTTTATCTTTTTTCTGTAAGAGCATAGAGTCTGTGCTGAGGTGATTTTCTTGCAAAGCCCCTCAAATTTCCTCCTTTAGTTTCCAATGTGAAAGAGGGGTGGGGTTCCCAAAAGCTTAGGCTTTTGTTTTCTATTTTTATTTTTTTCCCTTGGCCATGTCAATGTGTCAGTTTGTCTAATAAAAGGTCTAACCTCAAGTCTTGCCTCCCTTGGCTCATCAGGCATTAGCGTTTGTGCAGAAATTTGTTGCGCAAGTCAACTTCTTATGGGGAGAGTTTATGGCTCACCTCTACTACGCTTCAAAGTGTTCCTGCAAGCTCCCAGGATAACTAGGGTAGATGACACTTTATTTTATCTCAGATTGATCAGTGCAAGAATGGATTATATAAGTCACACTAGGATCTGATGATTAGTATATTTTTCTGTCTCATGTTCTCATCTATTATGATTCTGTTAATTACCACACGCAAACAATGAACCAAATCTTTCTTTCTGTGGGGCAGACAGTTCTCCCTCCTCCAAGACCTTTGGTTTGCTCCAGAACTCTTCACTCTCATAATTACTGAAGTTAATGAAAATCTTTCACTCTGCTGCTTGAAAACAGCTACTGTGACCCTAATTACTTTGAGTTTAAGCCCATCTTTTCAATCCATGTTTCCTTCAGCATCTCAGGATGAGTTTTATTAACTTTTTCCTCCTGATTCATACACCACTGCACACTCATCCTGTGTCCAGTGTTATCCTTTTATCGCAGGAGGTTGACGTGAGGCAGACAAGAGCAAGGGAGCAGCAGTTCCACGGGGCTGCTGCCAGACTGGGCAGGTTTCTGGTTGGAAGATCAACCACCCCTCACAGCCCTGTGCTTTCTGGACCCAGACCTGGCACTTGACATCCCCACACACCTAGCGGGGCACAGCTCCTCCCTGGCAGCTCACAGCAGCTGGCTTACAGCTGCATTAGCAAAGCAACATGTTTTTCCACCCTGACTACCCGAGGCACACATTTTCCACCATGTTGGCCAGGACAGGTACTTAATAGTGTTGCCGTGGTGTTAGTTTTGCAGAGATTTTTGGCAAAAGAGCTTAGAAGATTATTTTGTCAAAATATGCTACTTTGAAGAAGCTGAAGAAATTTGCCAAAAGATACTAGATCGTGTGAAGTTTTCTGCAGCCTGCAGCTTCCCAATTACTTCTATGTAAAAATCAGTAGAATTCTTTCTCAAAAGCCTGCTCTTTCTTGATCTAAAGATTGAGACATTTTAACATAAGACATTTAATGAAAAGAAATTAAAAGTTTTGGGGTCTATCCTAAAGTAGAACTGAGATATGGTTTTAATGGCTCAAGAGTTATTAAGAAATGTAATTGTTCTTCTCCAAATGCCCCTGACTTTATTTTCTAAGGGGTTTTTTTTGAAAGAGCTCTGTATTTGCAAATGAACAGGAAGATGGTCTGATTTACCATATCACAGCATGGTTTCATTTTTTTCCTGCCTATTTAGATCTAGTGCATTAGAGCAGAGACACCTAACGCATGAACTAAAGAGCCCTTATGCTGGACATGAGAAAGGCCTTCTCCTTGAGCTATCCATCTGCATCGGGGAAATTGGACCTTGCATTCATACAACAGGGATTAAATGGATTTAACAAAATCCTTTTAACTGTGGATCTGCATGTAATTCTGTATCCACATATCTAATTTGCAAGTTAGTCATACCACACTCATAGTTTACAGTCATAATTTAGTCTTTCACATTCTATTGCGCTATTGCACTTTTAGTTTATTATCAAATAGCCATTGTTTCTTTGAATACACAGTGGTCCCTTTGGAGAATCAGATGCCTGTGACAATAGGTACATTCTCAGCTCTTTCAGCGTAGCTGGGCATGATACCAACCTCCTCACGAACAGATGAGGTGTGCCAATGCATCCCGGTATTTCTCTGCTCTTGTAGCTAGAGGGCAGAACTCCAAAGTAAAGGCCATGATCCTGGCCCGCCAGTATCTCTTGCTTGTGCTGTTTAGCTCTCACTGCTGCAGCCTCCAGTTTATTTAATTTCTCTCACTAGAACCTCCTCTCAATTTTACTTATTAAGCCTTGAAAATCCCATCTGAGCTTCTTTTTGTAGCCAAAACTAACTGTGACACAGGTTTTAAGTGACTTCATCAAGGCTATAGAGTAAGTTAGTGGCAGAGTTGGAATTAGAGTCCAAAGAGGTTGATTCCAAGTGCCAAGTAGACTATTTGCTCTGAAAAATTGCAGACAGGAGGTCACACTGGAAGAATAAAAGAAGTCACTTAGACTGTGGATATGAAAATCAAAAAATCCCAGGAGACCATTTGGAAACTGGAACATATTTAATTGGCTTTATAGATAAATAGCCTGCCAAGGATGGTGGCAGAGAAAGGAGACCTCTTCACCTAGAGAGGGCACTGGAGTTGAGCATAATCATTCCCATGTGGTGCTGCTTGGCTAATAAGCAATTAGAGCATGAATAAAGACTTAAGCAAGGGTGAGGTAAATGTAGTAGTGCTCGGGCGGTATCAGTACACAGACATCGTAAACAAGGACATAATGCCCTGGGAAAAGTCAGGTGATAGCCCCACTCCCATTACTAGCCCAATGAGTCATCTAGCTCCCCCCCTTCATGCAGTATATCAACAAGCTGAGTCCTGCTTTGTTGGGTGATGAATTCTTCACCACTGAGTTGTCTTTCATGTTATAGGCAAATGAGTCTGTATCATTGCAGATTCCATGGTAAAAGCCCGTTTCTCGTTCTAAGAGCAAGCCTTCTCCAGTCTGATTGGAAATCTTGCTCATGTTAGGCAATCTAACAGATACATTTTAAAGCTAAATGCAGTGAAATAGCAACTATCCCAGTCAGGACGTGCTCAGCTGCACCATCTTTCTTCCATAATTTAACATAACCATGGACATAAAAGCTGCATAAGTGAAATGACTTTGCAATGGACACTAGTTTCACTGTAAAAGAATAATTTTATGTTTTGCATTTCAGAATAGCACAAGTAAAATGCTCAGTATAGGGAATAAGATCACTGTTGATTATAAAAACAAGAAAGTAAGTCAGGTCCTCCATATGTAACACTCAGAAAGTGCTTTGAAGGAGGCTTGAAACTCTGAGGAACTGGAAAGTGGCTTCAAGGCTTTTCTGAAGCCATTCCCCTCTAATGCCCATCTTTTCAAAGCTGATAGTCCCACTTCATTTCTTCTAGGACAACTGCTAACTAAAAAGAGCCAGGGAGCAGGTTGGAGCCTTGGACCCCTGGTCATTTGAGCTGCTTAGTGGACAGCTCACTTCCAGACTTGCTTTTGGATCTCTCTCCAAGACAAACCCATTTTAGAAACATTACTCTAAGCCGTGTGTGGAGGTGGTACAGTTAGGCCATTAGGCCTTTACTCCCTGGACTGATTTTGTTTAGTGATATGGACATAACTACTGTGAAAGCTGCTACTGCTAGCTAAGGTTGGGGTGACGAAGGAAACAAAGCTGAAGGGTGGTTTCCTCAGCTCTTAGTCAGAGAACAAAGTGGGACCAGTTTCTTGTTGCACTATGTTTGTGTTGTGTTCAGCTAAGGCTTCAAGGCCTCTCCTAGCTGTTTACAGGGCCAAGAGGGAATTAGGGATTTTTTACTGTTTCTCTGATTTATAAAACATTTTCTTTCCTATGAGCTAGACAGCTGTGTTGGCTGGGGAAAGGTCGCGAGGCAGGATGCCCTGGAGCTTTTATAGGTACTGGAAAACCTCTCAGCAGCTTGGTCTGTGGATCTTCCTTGCATGCTCAGAATTAACTTAAATGCCAGATTGGAAGTCAGAGGGGAATTTCGACAAATCAGACCACAGGTCTGATATGGGGGCAGTTCTACCTTCCTCATCACCCGTGGGTTTCTCAGGCAGTCGCTAGACATTGCGGAGGCCTTAGCTTGTGCTGGTGACTGCGACGTTGCCTGCTCTCTCCATGTGGCGCAGAGAAGTTTTTGTGACTTTTAGCCTTTAGCAGTACAGTTTGTTTTAGAGGGAGGGAGTGTTCTGTGGCTTGCAGCGGATGTTAGGTGTGAAATAGATCTGCTAACAGAGATTTCTCAGAAAATGCCAGCTATATAGTTGCCTGTGAAGGCAAGCTTTGATGACAGAGAGGCCAGAGGGGTCCTGGACCCCTGTGTCAGACACAGTGCTCCTGCCCTGTAGGCGAGCAGTTTGTTAGTGTTCTGGGTTTGCCAGTCTATCCCCTTCCAAGAACATCAAATGTGCTAGAACTGTAAAGGAGATGTGAGAAAGCCCCAGGTGGCAGAGCCAAAAGGGGCTATGTGGGATCTGCTAATGGCATAATTAGGGCTGCAGTGACCAGGGTCACTGCAGCTGTGCAAGCACCTGGGGAGCTCGAGTTGCTTCGTGCAAGCACCCTAAAGCTTGGGAAGTGACAGGGAGAGGGTTCCCAAGGAGCAGGATACTGCTGGAGTCATTTCCCAGGGCACTATGGGGAGGTAACACAACTGTGTTGTGCTCATTTAACTCCATGTGTGTCTCTGCAGCTAAGGTCGATCCTTTTTGCAAATCAGGTTTTTGGTCCTCAGAGTTCTTTTAGGTCTCTGACATTATGTATGTATTTGTTCTTTATCACCTATAGCCTATCAAAAATATATACATGTGTAATAGGCCAATAGGACCTGAAAAGTTAAAGCACGCTTCTAAGAGCTGCTTTATACTTAATCCATCGTTGTGGCTTTCTGGTCTCAATTCCCTCTTGGTTACTTCCACACTAACCTGAGCACTCCTGTATCTGCACTGGAAAAGATGCTGACACATCTTTTATCAATTTATTGGATGTTGACTTCAAATATACACTTCAGGAGGGCATGGGAATTTGGCATTAATGACTTTGTAGGATGCTATTTTTCAAGTAAGAATGTGATGGATTGCAATTCATTATACATGCCCACTGATAATAATTTCAGTGTTCCCATAGAAATAAATATTTTACAAATATGAATAATGCATAGACACTTTTTGTGGAAGTTAATTCAAAATCTTTCAATAAAAATAATTGCAGTAGAGTGCCAAGCAGGAAAAAAAAAAACAGGATGGCTTGGAACTGTGCATGTTGATCTAACCATCAGTGGGTTGGGTTATTAATATCACTTAGATTAATGGAATATTGAGATTTCTGAACATTGCATAAGTTGCTTCTTCACTTAAGAGCATTTTGGTCTTTTGCTTTCTTATGTACCTCTTTTTTTCACCATTAAGTCAGAAGAGCAAAAATATGAGCAGCGGTGATCACACGCTACCACTGAAGGGGTCATCGTGTCTCTTTCATAAAGAATTAAACTGGCTCATGTATTAAAGTGTCACACTCATTAGATCCCTTTATGGTTTCCAGCTCGCTGGAGCTGTCTTATGGTGGCTTGTCAGTGTGCCATAGCATGCCTAAACTTGCGTCCATTTCTCCATTTGTTGTCATTTGAACAGGTGGAAGATATCACAGCTACGCATGAAGCTGCAATGTTAGAGATAGAAAATAACCACACAATCGCCATTGCAATACTGCAGGATGAGCATGACAGCAAGCTTCAAGGTAACCCAAAGGCAACCCACTGCCAACAGAGCCATTCCAGACCAGAAACTCTGGCTGTGGTGAGACCTCGTAAGCCTGGAGCTTCTCCTTTCAGAGAAGATGATACTGAAATTTGTGTTGGTCTATGTGCTTGCATGCTGGGTAGACCACCAGGTTCATGCTAGGGCTGCAGGAGAGCTGCCTGTAGTCCATTTATTATGGACTCCAGAGTATCTGAGGAGGTCTTTGGTGCAATGACAGGGCTTTCTCTATGAATCACTGAACATAGAGTCCAAATTTCACCTCACTTCAACAATATGCTTTTCCCAAGAGCCCACATGACTAGTCCTCAGGTGCTCAGGAAGCTAGAGTGGATTGAATGTCTCTGAATTTAGGTTTTTAAAAGGCTACGCTGTTTCTGAAAACAGGGCTCCTCATCTTCATTAATTTGTAGGCTGGCGGTGCCGAGCAGAGCCACACACAGGTGCAAACCTGCGCCCCAACTATGTCAGCCATACTTTATCTTATGGTCTGTCCATGGGATTTGATGCAAGAGCCGGAGCTGTTTTCTCCCCACCACTTAGAATCTAAATCTGTGCCTTTGCCCATGGCTTAGCTGACATTTAACAATTATCTATAAAATCTCTCTCCTTTTTTAACATGTATGCATGGGGGGGTCTCATTTTTAAATAGCTCTAGTAGGCTTTCCCACAACATTCCCCACATTGAGTCTTATTGCTTAGTTATGCACTGTAACATTTAGAAGCAGAGTCCAGAGCACAACCTTAGCTGAAAACAGTCTGTTCCCCTCTCCTGTAGGCAGGGATGGTATATATAATGCCATTGCTAAATTAATATATATATTTTTTTGAAAATAAAAAGCTGTCCCTTGCTTGAAGATAATCCTAGCTGTCCATTTTTGTTAGTATTTTCTGATGGTAAAACTTGGCTTTTGTTATCAAGGCTTCTGTAGCTGAAGTTTGTGCTCTCTAGTGTGGGTATGAAATGCCCTCCTGTGCATGGAAATGGCATTGCAGCAACTGCTTTCCTGCTGCACTGTACAGGGCCCATGGCAGAGAGCCTGAATGAGCATTAGTAGTATTAGTGCTGTAGTTGCTGCAATTATTAGGCAGTGATTAGAGGGCAAAACCACATGTCGGGGGGGAAGACACGGAAAACAGAGTGTCTGTGTCCTAAAAAGTTAGGTGCCACTGTACTGAATGACAATTTCATGCCACTGATTCAGAGGTTAAACTTTATTCCACTTTGGTTATTAAACTTTTGGTTATTATTAAGTCCAGAGCAGTATATTCTAGTAATAAAATGTATAATCACTTAATAGAAATTTAGGACTTTCTTTCTTTAGGGTCTGGCAGTCTCATGAATCGAATAAAATTTACAGGTCGTGTCACAGATCCTGGAGAAGCAGTGTCATTCACATTTTTGCACTTGAATTACTGCCCCCTGTCTTGATCTCACCGAAGAGGTTACAACCCAAACTTATAAATATGTCCACTAATTCCAAAACGCCTTGATTTGGGGATACTCACTTTGAAACTGTAAATGACCCATTTTCAGTCTGAACCTTTTCAAACTGCAGTCCCTGGAAGCTGGGAATTCTGAGCAGTTCGTAAAGATCAGGAGTTGAACACATAGAAGTGGAGGTACATGAAATCGGTGAAAGCTTTGGAAATCTTGAGCCTCAAAACAATTTTCCCAAGACCACCAAGAACATTACTTTTGGGGCAACCTTTATGCCCTAAAACTGCTTTCAGAATAATGCTTGGCTCATGATCTCTGGGCTCTTGGGCCCTGATTTGCTGGACTTCACGTAGCAATGTCATGTCTTTGTATTTTCCCTAGAACTGGTGTCTGCTCATGACCTGGAAAAGAAAGAATTAGGAGAGAGTTTTGAAAAACTGCGATTGTCACTCCAGGTCAGTTGTTTCATTATTCCCCCTCCCCCCCCAATAATGCTGCAGAGCAGCTCACCATGGTGCAGGCAGAGGGTGCAGGTCTATTGCAGCACTTAGCCACACTGCTGCTTCTCAGTGCTGTTTCTGATTCACCAGGACGTTGTTTTGTAGTAACTTGCTGTGAGTCCCTTCGTCTGGGCAGGTGCTGTTAAGACTCCACTGCTCCCGTTTACCAGCAGCTATACAGCAAGTAGACCCTTGTACCAGGGACACTGCCGCTTCTCTAATGGCCTCTGGTCCTTCATCTGTCCAAATTGGGATTTAGCAGCAAAGATGCCTCCTCAGGCTTTTTCCTCATGGCTGGTTCAGCAAAATACTAACTGTATCTGAAGGAGAAAAGAGGGCAAGTCTAAAGGGAGGAAAATGTAGCTGAATAATGAAAAGTCCTTTTGACCCTGCTGACTGCTGGCCTAATACTGAAGCCAAGAAGGGCAAGCTCTGGCTCTTCTCCCTGCACAGCAGGGAGGGCTCCAGTGCCTGCGGCGTACTTGTGCATCGCCTTGCCAGCACAGCACCCTCCAGCAGATGTCTCCAGGTTCTCTGCTGGATCCCCTCAGTAACGCTTTCTCACCACATGGTCTTGTATCTGTGCTTTACTTTCCCTCTGTGGGACAGACCCAGCTGGCGTCCTTCTCTCCATGGATCACAGAAGGAGTCTAGACGTAATCATCTCAATTTCACCTAGATTGTATCTAGATGTAATCACCTAGTTCAAATGCAGACATCTTGGTAGCAGACATCAAAAGTGAAGTGACACGAATCCCAGGCCTGGTGAGCTGCTGGGTGTAGCAGCCCTTTTGTCCCAAACACCTGGGCACCCACACTGGCTGGCCCTGTGTCCTGCCAGGCCATAGAGCATGCTGGCTGTGGGGCCCACAGATGCAGAGGATGCTGGCGACCTGAATTCCTGGGACACCAGCCGTACCCCACTCTTCTCAATGGCATATAGCTCTGAGATGAAATGATGATTGTTTAAAGCCCACACCATTAACTCTGACTTGCTTATTATCGCGTTAGCCTCCAAGTCTTCTGGAGTTTTGCCTAGAAAGATGAAGGAGGCAGGGATGGGGTATTTTTCCGTCCTCGTTCAGAATCTAGAAATCCTACAAATTACATTTTTCATGCCACTGATGTAAATACCTGCTTTCCCAAATAAGGGCATGCTTGTTCTCATCCAGCCCAAGATGACAGGGTGATTTAGCATCAAAGATGTTTCATCAGCTTGTGTCAGCCACTGTCAGCTAGCCATAGGTTTTTCAGGGATTTTGAGATGCCCTGAGATAACTGGGCTATCAAAACCTCCAAGGATGTTTAAGTGGCCTCGTGTAACAAATAACACTTTGCAGTGGTGTCTAAGGCGTGTTCAGCTCCCTTGGTGGTTCCACCATGCAGATTGACTTATATGGACCTAACAGCAGTGATAATGGGGTGGTGGTGTTTTAATTTGCCCTCCAGGACCAGGTAGACACCCTCATCTTCCAGAACCAGTCACTTAAGGACAAAGCAAAGCGATTTGAAGAGGCTTTGAAGAAAAACACCGAGGAACAACTGGAGGTAGATGGCAACTATAATTATACAGTCATCAAGATACATGCTCTCATCACGGCTCACATCACACTAGGGGGTAATTAGCGATGGGAGTCTTACCCTAAGGGCTGAATGAGACACACCCAGCCAGAACCCCAGATCTTGAGGGCTGTGGAAGAGTCAGAAATCCTGATTTAGGTCTGAATACACAGCTCTCTCTGCCCATGCTGTGTAATTATCCATTATTTTCGGAGTTTATTTCTTTTTCCATACCCTTTCATCTAGCATATGTAGCTGTTTCCTGAACGTTTCATGAACACTGTCTGGTATCTCCTTCTATTCATCTTTCTCCTTTTCCACTCTTTCTCTTCATTTTTTGCCTTTTCACATTTATATTTCTTTTTTTGTGCCCTGGGAGACAACTTCCCTGATGTCCTCTGTATTCCGTTATTTTTTGCTGGACTTGCAGAGAGCAGACCTGTCATAGGAAATATTTATTCAACTGCTGTGTATTGGGGACATGCTGTTTATTTACAGTGCATAAGTAAACATACAGTTATTTATCTGAAATGAAATAACCCTGAAATGAGCCTCCAAAAAAAGTTGTCTTTTGCCTTGGGTCATTTCAATGGTACACTTCACAGCCCAGTCCCATGAGCAACAATATCAACAAGACAGAGGGGACAGTGCATGGAAACAGTAGGATGAGTATGGGGAGCTTAGTAGTTTTTAGGTGAAAGAACTTCTTAGGAAAGGAGTGCAAACATCCGAAACTGGCTTGGCCCCGGGAAACAGGTAGCATCAGTTTTCCTTCCATCCCCACTGCAGTATTTAATTTACATCAAAGGACAAATTCTGCTGCATCACAGTGATGTAAATGCCAAGTACTACCAGACACTTCAGTGGAGTGAGTTACACTGCCAGAAATCCAAAATAGCTTAAGTTAGTGGTGATATTTAATCAGGATAATGCAGAGCACAGCTTTTGCCCAAGAGTTGTACCTTAACATCCTCTACATCCAAAGTTTCTGAGCAGAGGAGAGGGATATCGTATTGGTAGGAATCACTGCTCTTCTTCCCGCCACAGGTCTGATCTTTGTTAACAGGTTACCAACTCTGTGATGTGGTCGTGCAGAGCAGGCAAACCGCCATCATTTGCCACCAGAAAGATATCATAAAATTAGCTACCAAGATAAAGAGATAGGCTAGCAAGGGCTGTCAGGGTCCCAGTGGGCTGAGGGCCCAAGTCCAGCTGGTATTCACAGCAGTAAGACTCCTAAACCACTGGTAGATTAGGGAAATTTTATTTTATGGCTGAAGATGTATTTATGGCTAACAGATGTCCAAATCACTGGTATTTTTCTTAGGTTGCACTAGCTCCATATCAGCACTTAGAAGAAGATATGAATAGCTTAAAACAGGTTCTGGAAATGAAGAATCATCTAATTCACCAACAGGAGAAGAGGATTATGGAGCTAGAAAAACTGGTGAGTTGTCATTATTCCTCCAGAGGAGACATCACAAAGATGTGAAAAGTAAAAGTGTGGTTACAGCAGATTAATTTAAAAGGGGTGAGATAAAGAAGGGGGTTGTGAAAGACACAGCAAAAGCATTTCATAAATGGCTATATATTGTATTGTTGCACTGCCAACCCACACAGGTTCTTCTGCTATAGCATGTCTTAGGTTCTCACCCAGAAACTGGGATCTTTTCCCATCCCTTCACCCACCTGTGATACGCTTGATTTCTCACACATATCCGTTCATCTGTATTTCTTTTTCATGTGGATACCTGCTTAGCCTGTAAGTTAGACAGTGAAGTGACTGGTGTAGGAAGAGTGAGGAGGGAGAACTTCATGGTACTGCCCAGGATGTAATTTTGGGCACCAGCCTCCACTATACTCCCCTACTAGAGTTGGTTGACCATTTAGGGCTAGTATAGCACAAGTGGAGGAAAGGTAAACCACTTGTATCCTTCTGCCTGCTAATACAGACATCTAGGGAGCTCCCAGCCTCTGATGTGAATTAGCAATATTCAGAGAGCAGTCTCAAGCAAGGCTCATGATAAGAAAGGTCTCTCCGATGCTGAGGTAGTGCTTTTCCACAGCCTACTCTGTGTCCTCATTCTTTGCTTGCGTGGGTCCCTAACAAAGAACTCCCCAGGTAACCATTAGTTTCATTCTTATTGGAAATGGGATTCATTTTGTGAGGCATAACCTGGAACGACAGTGAGTGTATAGTGTGGTGACAGGATGAGGCATTACCTCAGCTGGGGAGCAGGGACAGCTGGTTCAGCACAACACTCAGCAAGATTTGTTTCCATTTACAGGGAAATTTGAGAACTCAGTTGATTATTTTGCTGAACAGATGCTTGAGTAAATGGATATAGAGAAAAATGTCTCTTTACAGCAGAGGCTTGTTAACTGTGCTCCTTCCAACACGCTGCTCCTGGAGCTAGGCCAACATCTGAAAACATGCACTGTAGTGTTATACTGAAAAAAACATCAAAAGCTTACACGATTCCTGGCCATTTAGATGCATTTGCAAATTAATCATGTATGATCACACAGTCCTGCTCCTGCCCTTTATCACAGTAAAACTCTGGTTCTGCTGTGGTCTAAGGGGACAACTGCTTTCAGTTTAAAGATCAGCTTTTATAAGTGCTTTAGCATCTACAGGGTATCTCCAATTGCTCTGGAATCTGGTGTGCCTCATGAACAAGCAGGATGGGATTTCAAATGCAGGGTAAGATGGGTGAGAGGATCCCGAAAATACAGTGCCTGAAAGAAGCAGGGTTTGATAAGGTGACAGTCAGTCAGAACTGTGTTGCATGTTTGCATGGATCAGCTTGCCCAGAAGAACCTCAGCTACCCACCATTAGGAGAAACTAGAAATGTTTTTTTTTTAAAGTTCAGATTTCAGTGCTGGGCAGAGCCTAATACTCATGAGGTAAGGGAATTACAGCAGGAGAAAAGAGCGACTGTTGAGGAATAGGGTTAGGTGTGGGTGAAAGGAGTCATAAAGGGTATTGGAAAAGGGAATTTACCTGCTTGTCTCCTCTGACCTGGGCTTGCCCTCTTGGGGACGTAGCAGCCTGCCGTGATGCTCTGCCATATGCTCTTAGGACTGTGGACCTTTCTGAGAGGTACTGAGACCCTCTCCCTGTATCTGAGCTTAGATCAGCAGAGACTGAAAAGAAGGCTAACCGGGAACCACAGGGGTTTGGCCTAGGCCAAGGATTCCAGGTCATGGTGGGGATGGCGAGGCTGATGGCCTAGGAGGCATTACTGAAGCAGGGCAGAGAGTTTGGCCGTATGGCCAGCACCATGGGACACTGAGCCCTGGTTCCTTATATGCTTAATGAGGCTGAAAGGGAGGCTGGAAACAAAGGTGGCAGGAGAAGGGTAGTATAGGTCAAGGGCTGCGGTGGAAAGGGAAGGAGGTGCACAGATCTACTCCCATGTTTCACGGTAACATAACCACTACTTATTAAAGCCATTGAGGTTAAGGAAGTAGAGAAGGTGCTTGTGATTTCTCTCTCTGCTCTCAGAGCATTGCAAAACGTGGCCATACTTTACAGTTATTTGCATTGGCTGGACATGACTGCTGAAAACTGATGTCTCCACTGTGAAGTGTGAGTTATTGTTAATTCCCGTGCCTAGTATTTCAGTTCTTTACAGGAGGTTGAGAAATTCAATAACCAAAAATGGTGCTCACCTGGAGATAAGGTTGCCCTGTAATATCTTGTTTTCTTCCACGAGTGTTGAATTCAGCAAAATTCAAACTGCTGGAAAGCGAAAAACTAAGGAGATAAAGCATGTCAAGTTCAAAATTTCCAAAAAACGGGGCATATGAAGCTGTGGCACATGCCTATGAACATCTTAGTGATGTTTTAATGCACTGCTATTGACAGTGTCAGACTCTGCCCTTGAACTGTACAGAGTAAAGGCTACTTACAGTTGGGACTGGATTCATTTCACCTAATTGCAGTTTAAAGTTAAATGCCTCGTTTAAGCCAGCCATTCAAGCTGACATTGTCATAGTGGAGCCATTCACCTCAAGCTAAGACAGCAATCTAAGATTGCCTTGGCAGGTAACTCTTTCCTCCCCTGAGCTGCAGGGAGGTCGTAGGCAGCTTAAGGTTAGATGGCAGACATTTATTCAGCTGAGGCTCAGAGAGATGAATGATGCATGAGGCCACCTCACACTCTTCTTTCGTCGTTTCCTCACCAGCCTGGCAGGTCAGCCCCGTGTGTCCTTGCCCCATAGTGAGAGTCTCTGCACTCTGTGAGTGACCCAGGCTACACAGCTGAGCTGAGATGCACAGGACTCTGAAGGTCCCTGTGGACCTTTCCCTGCAGGCACACAGCAGGAGGAAAAGGGATTCATACGGTCACAGCTCTCCCAAACAACTCCCTCTCTTGTTCAGCCCTGCCACACGTAGCCCAGCAATTACACCTGGCTGCATGCAGCACATCCGCACAGCTACTGCTGACAAGAGGGGGCAAAGCTAAGAGCATATGGGCATAGAAGTTGCCTGCCTTTCCCAGTTTTCAGAAACTGAGTTCCGGCATACCTTAATGCTTGCTTCTTCATCTCCAGAGGCTTGAGTGTCATCAGTGGTGATGTTTGGCAAGGCTGAGAGTAATGACTGGTAACGCTAACTCTGGAGGCATGACTGTTCTGGTGAAAGCTGTGGGGGCACCAGTGGGGAAGATGTTTTATTCGTCCTGGACAAGACTAAAACTCTCCTCCTGCTCAGTTAGAAATGAGGCCTAATTCAGCTCTGCCTCCCTTCAAGGCTGTGTTGATGACTCCACTTACTTCACCAAAATGACATGGTGTGAGTCAGACCTCTAACACAGCTGCAGTCGAAATGACCACCTCCATCTATTGACAAATTTTGGAATTTGCTCTAGGGACAAATATACTCCTTTCCTAGGAGAAGGAACAAATCCTTTTGGATCAGGTGTTGAGACTTCTTAAGACTTAACAAACTCTCTTTTGTTGCAGGCTGAAAAGAATTTAATCCTGGAAGAAAAAATCCAGGTGCTACAACAGCAGAATGAAGACCTCAGAGTGAGGATTGATCAAAATACCGTCGTAACAAGGTTTGTTTGCAGCCTGTTAGAGCTTGATAGGAGACTGCAAATTATAACCACATGTGGTTGACAATTATTTTAGAAAGAGAAAAAATAAGTGAATTTCCTACTGGAAGTGTATCCCCACTACTTATTTTATTAACAAAGTCTTTTTATATTAGAGTCTGCTTACTTTAAAATGAGGAAGACCACATATCTATGTGAAATTATTTTCATGATTTTGACATGCTACTAAGGTCAAAATGCCCAGTTGCTTCTGATTCCAGCGTCAGTGTCATGAAACCCTTTGGTCAGCAGGTAGCGAGCACTGGAAATGTGGTGATTTCAGGAGAGAGATCTTGGCAGTGCCACAGTCACCCAGGCAGAATATGCTTTGGTATTGTGTTGGTGGTGGGTTTTTTTATTTGCACTATCTAACAACCTGACAAGGCTGACAAGGCTCCTTGTGTTAGGTGGTGTAGGAACAGAGCTGAAAGACAAGCCCTGTCCTGGAGAGTTTATAGTCTAGCGTAAGACAAGAAACCACAGTTGAAGCCAGGCAGAGAGGGGAGAACAAGGAGAGATGACAGAGCTGAAACTTGTGTCAGCATACCAGCTGCCTATCTGTTGTCAGTTGTTACTGAAAATGATGCCATTGGCCTAAAATGTGATTTAATTTTTCAGCTGACTTTTTTTAGCTTTAATGTCTCATCTCTGATTTAATGTTAGGTTTTTCTTTCTACTCTCTCCTTTAATAATTACTTAGCCTTAAAATATATTATATATCTGCATGTAGATGTATAAAAAGGTAATATTGCTTGTACTAACATTCGGGAAGTCATGAGGCTTAGGTTTCATCTCACCTGATCTTAATATCTGAAATGCACATGTCACTGCCTGAGCTGGTTGTCTACAGCCCTTCTGTGATGGGGAAAGAGAAAGAGAAATATTTAAAATCTGGTTCATGTGACCTGTTTGGGAACATCTGCTTTCAGACTGAATGAATTGTGTTCTGGGAGTGCCAGTCTCTCTCCGTGCCTGTAAAAGCAGCCTGGGTGACAGATTCGGTGCTTGGCCTCTACGTTGTAGGTGCCCACCTCCAGCTGGGTGAATAGCCTCTAGATTCCCCACTGGGATACGGGTGCAGTGCTTTGCTTCTTGATATTACTTTGTAGGTACCAGCTTCAAAATGGGTCTTTTGGGAGAAATTCTAAATTTGAGATTGGCATGGAAAGTCAACTGAAAGGCCAGTCACTTTCAACAGTAACATTTTCATCCCTGCTGTGACACTGCCAGGACAAGGGCCTCCCCTAGGGAACGGGGTGCTGTTGTAGCAGGGGGGGTCCAGTCCCCCTCAGGTGGGTGCAGGAGGGGACAGCTGGGCTGATTATAGTTACAGGACAGTGACAGGATAACAGCTGGCCCCAGGGATTGGCATCAGCATGCGAAAGCTGGCAGTCAAAAGCAAAAATATTCCATTTTACCCAGGGATTTCCAGTCATAACCAAGGGCAGGCACAAAGAAAGGGAAAGCAGCCTTGTAGGTAGGTCATGCGCTGGGTTTGGACATGGGACCTCCACAGATCCTCTGCCTGAGACTCCCCCAGTGACTTTACTAAATCACCTGGTTGCTCGAGGTCACAAATTCTCCCTCCCACTAAACCAGCATCTCTTTGGTTCTTCGGACTGGAAGTGTTTGATGATGGCAGTTTCTCTAACCAGCAGTACCTTGAAGATGGAGATGACCAGGAGGTGACTGGTCTCCTTTCACCTCCCAGTTCTTGTAGCCCAGGTGCCTCCTTACAACTGGGCCACCTGGGGGAGGCTTTAACATGAGTCGAGGCTCAAGCAGCTGCCTCAGATCCCTAGGACTTCACTGTTCCCCTGCGCACCTCTGTGATTTCATGGCTGTGATTCCCACTGTGATTTGTCTTGACTGGTTAAATTGCTGGGAGAGGTGGCTGGGAGAGGGACAGTAACTGGTAATAATTGCTACAGTCCTGGGGATAAAGGGTTTCCCAGCTAGGTTAGAGTCTCACAATAGAAAATATATCTCAAGATACAAACTGACATGTACATTTGCTTTTACGTAGCCTGTCTTCCTCCTTCTGCCTGAATGACAAGGAAGAGTCATTGCTTATCAACATGCTTATGGGCAGCTGTATCTTTTATAAGCCATCATTTTGTGTCTGTCCATCTTCCTCCATATGATGCAACAGAGGGAGGCATGGAATGGCTGAGCGTGCAGAGGGTTTGCTGAAGGATGTCAGCAGCACTGCCATGGGAACGCAGCCATGAGCGCAGCCAACAGAGGCAGCAGTTTGTGCAGCAGTGTCTGGGCTCTGCCTGGGCCTTTTGTGGGCCTTGTTGGAAGCTGTGGAGGCTTTCTGGGGACCCCCGAGGAACTAGATGGTGCTTGCTGCTAGCAGGCAGGGAGAGCTAGGCAAGGACTCCTGCAGGGGACCTTGACTTAACTTCTCCTGGGAAGTTCTAGCTAGGTGGGGCTGCTGCTAACGAGCTCTCTGGGCTGCCCTGGTCGGAGGGAGTTGGGGCTTTTGTTTCAGGTGGCTCCTGATTGAGTGGGTCAAGCACCCTTGTGAGTCACTGCTAGGCAGAGGCCTGTATAAGAGCCAGGCCTAGAGCACAGCTCCCAGAGTGCTGCCAACAGACGCAGCGAACAGACGCAGCAGTTTGCGCAGTAGTTTGTGCGGAAGGGTGCCAGAAGGCAAAGAAGGCACCTCTCCATTTTGCACAGTGGTGTGTCCTTCCCTGGGGCATGGTCATGACACACTGCAGAGCACGTTCCCCAGTGGCTGCTGGAGGTGCTGCATCGGCGGTGTCTGAGGCTTCAGGGCTCAGCACCGTGTGCAAAGGTGCATCATAACACTGTTGAAGAGGGCTGGAAGCTGGTGACCTCTCGTAGAAGGAGAAAGGCTCTTCCTCCTCCTCAAGAGTTGCCTGAGTTGCCTGTGAAGAACGCTGTCCGGCCACAGTGGGGGAAACTGTCTCTATCTCAGGGCCACATGAAGCCAGCCTCTGCCTGTGTCCAGTCATGTTACGTCAGACAAGACAATGCAGTTGTTGCCCAGTGCAGCATGTGCGAAGTTAAAATAAGCAGCAACCCTTTTCCCCACCTGTGTGCCAAAGCAGCTCACTATCTGAGGACATGTCTGCATGCTGCCCCATGATTGTGGGGCATTTTCATGTTTAAATGTCTCTCTGAATTACTTGCAGGTCATGCAGATAGCCTGCAGCCTGCCTCTGCCAGCAAATTGCAGTGTGTATTAGTGCTATAAGGTCCCCTGTGTGAAAGACTCCAGAGTCCACTGTGGTACTGTGCATCATGCCATGCACACGCAGCATTAAATGTATTGCAGGCTACTGTGCTCAGAGGGGCTGATGTCTGGATTTGCACCCTGTCCATGCCGTACCTTTGGCAGAGGAGAGAGCTGGCCCCTTCACAAGTGCTCTGTGGTCCGTGCTGGTTAGATGAGCCTATAGTCAAAGCCCAAACAAGCTTTTACCCACTTTGAGAGTCAGTCACACATTCAATATTGGCAGCACATACGCATTTGTTTTTTTTTTTTTTCTCAGCAAACGCTGGTTGGAAAAAGGTGTAGCTGGGCTCTGTGTATGATTTTTATAGCCTGTCTTGCTAGGCACTGCAAAAGAAAAAGTAATTCCATGTGTAGCAAAAGGTTTCTTATGGAGTTATATCTCCAGGGTGAGCTCCCATTTGGACTTTCTCAGGCCTTTTAGACTATGAGCTCATGCCACAGCTGTTTCCCCAGTGGGACCATGAATAGAATCTTTCTTCTCTATCAGGCAAGCAGCTTTCACAAAATTTCTACCAATTCATATCATTTAATCCTCTGACTCTGCTAGCTGCTGCTGAATCTGGTTCAAAACTTACAGAGGAGTGAGAGAGGAACAGACACCTGCATGATCAGAGGAGCCCCATTTCTGTAGGAACCTAAGCTAGACAAGCTGAAATCCTTTAAAAATATTTTTAAACAAAATTCCTCTTCCTCCACCCTCACCCACAGAGAGTTTTAGTCACATAAACACAATGAGCCAGCAGTCCGTGTCATCTGCTAAGGGCTTTAGGCTATGCCCAATAACAGAGTTGGGCCGAATTTAGCCTCTGTATCCAAAATCCACACCCAGCTGCTATTGAACCCTGGGAATACGTAGGCAGGGGTTAGGTGCCTCCCTGTTTATTTCTAAAAATTTCAAGTTACCTGTGAAAATCAGCCTAGCTACATGTCCAGAGCTGCTTCAGCCTGATCACATCATGACCTGGCTTGTGCCCATACATAGTGGGGATGCAGAAACCAGATGTCCCTGCATACACCTCTAGGAGGGCTTAATCCAATAAATGTTCCCAGAACATGTCCTAAACACACCCCTATCAGGCTCCCACTGCCCCATTTCTTTTAAAATCAGTCACCTGGTTTGATGAGAGCAGTACCATAGCACTCAAGCTAGTGGTGCCCAGAGGAGGTTTCCATGTCCCACCTCCCAAAGAACCACCAGGTTATAGTGTATTCTGAAGAAAACATATCCCCAGTCCTTGCTGGTGAATTTTTCCTGCTATTGCAGTCAGGAATGCAGGGTTCATTAAGGCCAAGGAGGAAGGAACTGGAGATGGACCATTAAGGCCAAGGAGGAAGGAACTGGAGATGGACTCCACAGTCTCACAACCATTTACAGAGCAGAGGGAAGACTTTGGATCTGAGCTGCACTCTTATCAGGCCACCAGCTAAAATACATGATGAGCATCAGGAATAACGACTGCTTTGCCATTTGAGTGTTGTGGCAGCTGTTTGGAAGAGTCAAGGATGCAGTGGATCTCACTCACCTCTTCACTCGTTCTCCCCCTCTCTATGAATGCTCTGTCCCTTCTGACACAGCTTCAGTGGCAGCGTTCAGAAACAAGGATGAGAGGTACAACTGTCCAGGGAGTTGAAACATCTGATTTTTGTCCTCAAACAAACAGAAAAGGATCTAAAATCCAGGGCTCCCCACTTCCAGGGACTGCTCTAGCTGTTGCGGTGCTCTGTAAAAGATGGGGGAACTTTACCATCTTCTCTGAGTTGTGAAGCCTCACTGGGCAAAGGTCCCTGGACCCAGGCATTGAAGCTAGGGAAAAAGTAGGATTTAAAGAGCCCACCTGCACTTTGTGCTGCTCATTGGTTAGATGAAGTGGTGCCCTAACCAGGGCGAGGGCTGATTTGGGTTGCTTTCTGAATTCCTTTGTTCTCAAAGTGCTGGAAAGGGAGTCCTGTCCAAGGAGTTGCTTGTGTAGGGTGCCCAAGTGCTTAACCTGGGGCTCTGGGCTCCACCCTGGGGTCAGGTCCATCTCCACGGAAGCTTTTAGGCATGCTTCTGTGTAGAAATCGCTGGGCCAGTGAACAAGTTCTGCAAGTAGAGGTCACAGACCCATGCTGGGCACCTGCGTGTGTTGAATGGGAAGACGCAAATGCCTCAATCAGCTTTATTACACATTAGCACTAAGCAGGGGGCAAAAACAACTCAGCTACAAGCAAATATTAGAAGGGAGCATCTGAAACCTCACTTTCTCCTGTACCTACCTGAGTTAAGTATCTAGGGGAGATTAGGTTTCCAGCTCTCAAGTCCTCTCCAAGACCCAGGTGCCCAAGGCTGGGTCAGAGCATCAGATGGGTGGGGACCCTGGTGTGCTCTGCAGTCCTGGCAGTGGGGGACCCCATGGGGCTCTCTTTGGCTCCCATCCTCCCCACTAACCTGCTTCCTGCCAGTGACAGCAATGCTGGTGGGTGCACACCCACCATGATTTATAGATACCCTAAATGGTCCTTTTGGCCAGTGATAACTGGCTTAGTATCTCATAAAGCAGGCAGTGGCCATAGCTTTTCATACTGATGAAAAAGACAGGTAGCTAGAACACTTGCTCCAAAATTAGTCGGGTTCAATCAGGGGAGATATGACCGTGTGGATCCTACTTCTTAGATCAACTAACAGGCAAGGCTGCAAAAAGCCACTCTTAAGCCAGTCTCTTCACTAGGAGCAGGATGGGCTGTGCCACTACTCCATGCTGGCTGCCAAATGCTCATCACATGCCAGTATTTGTGATGTTATACTTGCTTCCTGCACATCCCAGGTGCAACGAAAGTCTCTGTATGCCATTATCCATGCCTACTCCATCCCCTCTGTCTGTGTGAGTGAAGAACCCTGTTCTTGCAGTGCATTACAGCCTTGTAGTTTAGCAACTTTTGAATATTCATATAAAGAAGCAAATATACTAACTTTTTTAGCAGTTTCCAATTTGTGCTCCATTGTGTATATGAGAAAGTACCCATTTCTAAAATCTTCGGAGCAAGTGGTTAATGTATGGAAGTCCTTGGCACCTTTGCATGCCATGCATGATGCCAAAAGCTACCCAAGGCAGTAGATGAAGGCCAGGACTCATCTCATCTAACCTTTGGTGCCAGAGCTACCTCAGAGTGGTGCTGAGCTAAGCTACAGGCACCTCCAGAGGTCAACTCAGACCTTGGAAGCCTGCCATTACCTCTGGAGATGCTTCTCTTGCTCTCCTCTGATAGTAGAGACACCCTGGGACAACTGTGCTCCCAACTTGGGCAGCCCTATTACACACAGACTTACAGGCAGGTGGGATGGATCAGAGGTAGGTACTTGGGATCCTCACTGGCTCTTCCTCTTGCACAGCAGTGATGCAAGGCCCCCTGAGCTGCTGCCAAGGACTTTGATGTCAGTGGAGAGCCAGCAGCCTCCAAATGTGAAACCCAAACAATTCTGCCTAGAAACATCCAGGGAAACTCGCTGCTGTGCCCACACCACCCTGCTGTAACACTTCTCCTGGGCTGGGGATAACAGCCCATTTAATTCTGGTGTTTGCTTTCACGCCCCCATCTTGGCCCTGTGGAGCCTTACATGATGTGTTGCTTCCCTCTCCAGGCAGCTGTCAGAGGAGAACGCTAATCTTCAAGAATATGTCGAGAAAGAAACAGAGGAGAAGAAGAGGCTGAGCAGGACTAATGAAGAGCTCCTCTGGAAGCTGCAGACTGGAGAGGCCATGAGCCCTGTTAAACTCTCTCCCACATCTCCTACTCCTATTTATCGCTGCTCATCAGGGCCTCCCACTCCAGCAAAAGTCAGCACCGTGCCAAGATGACAGTGCCACCTGCGTGCTCAAGATAACCTGGCTTTTACACGTGTTTCCAATCTGCTGAATGTTATCATCCAAGGAAGCATTACCAACAATACGCACCCAGGATTTGTTACTGCAAGCACGCTCTGTAGCTGCATAGCTTTACACTAGGCAGTGTACTCTTAAAATCCCAGTATAGGAGCTCCTGGTTCCGGCATGCTGATATGTTAGGATAGCTTAACCAGTCTAGTTTGATGTGTAAACATTTTAACTGTGGTTAGAGCCAAAAGATGGAAAATACTACTATTAATGGTTCGTCAGAATGAACTTTCGCTGCAGTATTTCAGGTCAGTTACAAACACAGTTCAAGTTGTGGATATCTCTATATGTGTGTCTGTGTTTATATACATGTATGCATTGTACCTTTATACCTATATATAGACGCACACACATATATATGTAGTTGAAGATGTTCTGAATTGCATTTTTTATATTATTGGATACTCTTAAGTGCTGATATATTTTCATTACAGTCAGCGTTTTTCTAACTCGTGCCTAAGACTTGTATCTAAACGAAATGCATTTCTGTTTAGCCTCCCAGGAATATTTCTACCCAAACTAGAAGAAAATTACACAGAAGTAGAAGCGCCTTCCAAACGACCACCAAGTGGTACTCTATTTAACGTGAACACCAGCGACTTTGAAATTCTGAAACAGTACTGCCTTCAAAACCATCACCTTTGTATTGAACACCAGATAGGATACGCATACCATTCTCTGCTTTTCAATTCTTAGCATCAGTATTGTGAGTGGATATAGGCTAGGGAAGAGGAACTTGAGGGTTTTAGTGAATTTGGTAGAGGTTACTGATTAACATGTGTCAGTCTTAGTTTCTTTAAATCGTAGTTAGATCTCATCTTATTTTGTTGTGTTTTGGATACAATCAAAATCTCTGGCTGTAGGTTCCTGTCCATGTTGATTTATTTCAAGTCCAGTACGCAAGAAGGAGAAAACAAATTGCTCATACTTTGACCTTTGCTGGCCAAGAGGTCCCCAGTATTGGGACCAGAAATGGGAGTGCCTACTAGGGCTCTAGCTTCCTCCCAGCTGAAACACCAAACGAAACACAGTGGACTACATGGGAGCAAATGAGGTCAGAATTTTTTCCTTCCATATTTATGTATTATTTCGCATTGCTAAATTTAACCCAAAGTTACAGAGCACTTTTAAGATTCGTGGAAAAGATTTGTCAAACTACCTTTAACTTCTCTGCCTTGTAGCAAAAAAACGTGCACCCGTTTCCCTCGACTTTCCCCCTGCCCAGGGCTTGGTTATGCTGCACACGTGGGTTGCAGAAGGGGCTGCAGCAGCCAGTGCCACATGTGTCCGGCTCCGCAGGGCTGTTCCTGGGCAAAACGTGGCTTTCCTGGTAGTACAGCACCAAGGATGGGAAACAGATGGGCCAAACTTTCACGATGCCAAGCAGAGGCTCTGGGGAAAATAACGAAAGGGCCCTCGCTGGCACTGTTAGCAAGCACAGGGCTGGCAATGGGCTGGTCAGGATTAGATCAGCCTGATGTGGAAGTGTGCGCTGTAGCACAGCTCTTGCAGATGACTTACCTGCCCATAAGGGAGAAAAATCTCTTAGCATAATTCAGAAAAAGGAGGTCTATGGGATGCTTTTGTACTCAGCTTGTGGCCCAGAACCTGCATATGTTCCTGCTTTGAGCAGTAGGACCTAAGTAAGCAAGAAACAGTATGTGCAGAAAATACATGGGGTGTGGGAGCACTGTGGAAGAGAGTGGCTCTCAGATAAGGTGTGTGGATCTGGTGCCTAGACACAGGCACACCCAGGGCTTGTGTGAGCAGAGGTGGTGTTGCACAATGGTGCTGTAGCGCCTGAACAAGAACTGTGGTTCGGCTTTCCTGGGAAGTACTCAGGATTCAGACTGCAGCTTAGATACAGCTTCAATCACTGTCAAAGCCTCTGTGGCCCATTCCATGAGGTAACGAAGATGGTGTTTTTTCTCCTTTTTTAGAAAAATTTATTTTTGTAGCAGCTTTTGCATGATACTGTGATACTGAGTAAATTGAGCATCTTGTTAGAATAGATCACGCCACACCAACTATCACTGTTGAAATGCATTACTAGATTTTAATGTGTCAGCAAGTGCAACCTGAAAGTAGAATAGATATTTAACATGCACACATGCACACAAAGCCCCTCTTTGCCAAATATAATTTTAATCTCTTTCAAACTGCACTTGCTAAATGCACAGATATTCTGCAATACCTACTGCATTGTCACGTTTCAGTCTGGTGCAACGTTTTCTGATACAGCAAGAATTGTTACCATGATGTTAATCTGAACTTTTCCATGTTATACACACTAAACATATTATCAGCCTGAGCCAGGCTGGCTGAGCCAATCCCTTTCATTTCTTCATTGTTTTCCTCTATTTCTGGTGCTTTCCTTATCCTTCTGTTGGTTGAAATTCATATGCAACAGATGCTTCCAGCAGTGAATTGGGAGTGGGGCTTCTGTCGTGGGCACCCTGGGCTGATCCCAGTTCCACCATAATTTCGTAACGTTGCCAATCTCTCTCTTGTTTATTTTTTTCCTCCCAATCCTGCCTATCATTGATTTCTTCCATGGGGTGGCCTCTCAGGTCTGGCAGGTTGCTAGCAAAGTTGTAGGAAGTTTTGCCTGACCAGAAGGGAGCCACCAAACCTTCCCTGCAGAGGTGTGAAAGATGTTTCCTTCCAGTGCAGCCCCAGAAACACTTCTTTCCCCAGAAAGGTCATTACTTTTTCCTGCTCTTCCTCTGTCTTGTCTCGCCTTACCTCTGGAGTCGATTTGGAAAAAAAAAAAAAAAGCCCAGTTCCCTCAGGTAGTGGGAGAAAGGGAGCAGCTCTGGTTTTAAGCAACAGTTTGGGGTAGGAGAAGGCCCTTGGGCAGTTGTCCAGCACAAGCAAGGCATCTAACAAGGGAACCAGCCATTCCCAGGTGCAAAGACCCTCTGAGTGCCCCGGCACAAGAGATATTTAAGATATCTCGTGGGGTTGCTGTGCTGATGCAGAGCGACGCTGCTGAGTGCTCCTGCTCGGGGACGTGCTGTCGGGCAGCATTGCCCCCCGCTTACACGGGGGAGACGCAACCATGCCGGGCAAGTGTGACATCCATAGTGGCATGGGAAGTCAGGTCGCCAGTCCTGGTTCCCCTGCCATCCCCACTGAGAGCACAGCCCCTGGGGGGATGCCGAGGGCACCCCAGCTGAGACCGAGTGAGGACAAGTTTTGCTCTGGAGGCCAGAGGCTTCCCAAAGCGCAGGGCCCATGCGTGGGCTTTCCTGGTTTGCTCCGCAACATGGCCTTTGGTGTGAGAGGGAGTGCAGCTAGCTCTGAGTGGAAAAGGGTTTTATTGCTCTTCCCTCTTCAAAAAGAAGCCATTTGCTTTGGTTAATGTTTCACTCTATTCAAAGTAAAAGGCTGCTGTGACAATAAACCCAAGCTATGATTTCTCTGACGGAGCTGCCAGCTGCTGGCGTGAAGTTGTGGGTGGCGTGGAGGGGGGGGCCGGTGCCCAGCCTATGACCCCTGCACTGCTGGCACAGGCTGCACATGCAGCATTGCTCCCAGAGGCTCTCCCGGCCCCTTCCCATCCTCCCACTGCAGCAGGGAACAGACATGGCTCCCGAAACCTGTCCATGGGTTTCGCAGCAGCAGGGTCATGTGAGCCCTGGACACAGGCACTACGCCTGCCCCCATCCCAGCACCACCGTATCTGCTGCTGCGGCAAACACTGGTGTGCAGAGGGGCTGTGGACAGGTTACAGCCCTTTAGGTGATCACCTGCCCACATGACCCGCCAGGCTGGCCATACCCATCAGTCATGCCACCTAAGAGGGAAGCAATACAGGGAAATGCTTTTCCCCAGTTATCTCCCTTAAATAGCCCACTGCAGTGGGCGGGCAGAGCCCGGAGATTGAGGCCTCATTTAAGGGCAAGAGGGGGCTGTTTAGCCTTCATGGCTCAATGGGTAGCCAGCCCCTGTCTACCAGCAGCAAATCTTGCAGCTTTATGAGGCCCAAGGAAATGCTGGTGAGGAAAGGGGCTTATGGTGGGCTCCTCCACTTGCCTACATCCTTATGGTGCCCAGCAGGACTGGGATGATGCCTCTAGGGCTGGCCAGATCTCCCAAAGCTCAGGAGCAGCAATTCCCCCCCATCCCTCCTGCCCTGAGCAGAGGGCTGTAAGGAGCTACTGCTCTACTTGCTATGGAGGCAATGCTGTGGAGGTCCTTCAGAAACTAACCTGGGCTGGTCATTTTAGAAATGATGAGGTAGGCACAGCCCAGGCACCATCATCAAAGGTGAAAGCACCATGCAGCCTCCGATAGCTTAACTAGGTGGGAGCTGGGGGTGTTTAGGATGGATTTGGCCAAGCGACACCTCTGTCATAAGATCCCAGCCACTGCTGGCCTTCTCCAGCAATGATTCATGCTGGGAAGATGAGGTTAGTGTCCCCCACGCTTACCGACAGCACCGCTTGTGCATCGTGGATGAGCTGCAGACAGTTCAGTGGGGAAGGCACAGGCTAGGACACCACCACAAGCAAGCCCACTGCAGCAAATCCAATGTGAGGGCTCCTTGGTAGCTGCAGCACAAACCCTACCAGTGCTGGCCCCAGCCATTGCTTCCCTAGGCTGGGCCCCACAGGCAAGTTGTTATGAATGCCATCCTCCCCCAAACCCACCCAGCTCACAAAAGTCTTCCTTGGAAAGAAGGAGCCTGTGAAGTGCCTCATGATGATCACAGTGGGCTTGCGTGCATCCTCATTCAGTGTGAGCGGGGGGAATGAGGTCTTCGCTTCTTCCTTCGAGCAGTGACAGAGATCTTTGAGTTAATAAATGGTTGCATAAATGACATTGATAATTCAGGCCTTGCATTT